GAGCGGCCCGAGGGCGCCGTCGTGGCCACGGTCAAGGCACGCGACCCGGAGAACTCGCCCATCCAGTACTCGATGGTGTCGCTTCTGGACGCGCGCTCGCAGGGCATGTTTGGCATCGACACCAAGACCGGCGTGGTGACGACGGCCACGCGGCTGGACCGGGAGCTCGTCGACGTGCACTACTTCCGCGTCACGGCCGTGGATGACTCGTTCCCGCCGCGCTCCGGCACCACCACGCTGCAGATCAACGTCCTGGACGCCAACGACCACTCGCCCGTGTTCGAGGCCCCCGAGTACGAGGCGTCTATCCGGGAGTCTGTGCCCGTCGGCTCCACCGTTGTCACGCTCAAGGCCACCGATCAGGACATCGACCGCAACGCCGAGGTGGAGTACACGATCCAGAGCGAGCAGCCGGGCGAGGCGGGCGCCCCCGAGACGTTCCGCATCGAGCCCAAGTCAGGCACAGTGTCCACGCGCGCGCCTCTGGACCGCGAGAAGGTGCAGCGCTACTCGCTGGTCATCGTGGCCTCCGACATGGCCGTGCCGCTGGCAGACAGGCGCTCCAGCTCGGCGACGGTCCTCGTCAACATCCTGGACGACAATGACAACTACCCGCAATTCACCGAGCGCTCGTACTCCGTCACCGTGCCTGAGGACATCGCGTGGAGCAGTAACCCCGTCATCGCCCACGTCAAGTAAGTCACCAGAAAATTTATTTGCTTGTCACCATCTTAAAATAGATTTGTAGAACGTATCAAATAAGCATTCTTTCTCACCAACAGGGCCACCGACGCAGATGAGGGGCCAAACGCCGCTATTCGCTACGCCATCATCGGTGGCAATACTCAGAGCCAGTTCGCCATAGACACGATGTCCGGGGAGGTATCTCTCGTCAAGCCGCTGGACTACGAGGTCATCAAGAACTACCGGCTGGTAATCCGCGCTCAGGATGGAGGCGGCCCCAGTCGGTCCAACACGACACAGCTCCTGGTCAACGTCAAGGATGTCAACGACAACGCCCCGAGATTCTACACGTCGCTATTCCAGGCTAGTATTAGTATTTTACACGCACTTCCTCTTAAGCACGCTCGATCATCTGATATGGTGAGTACACCTCCACTAACATATTGCTACTTTGTACAGGAATCTGTATTGGAAAGCGTCCCGGTTGGCTACAGCATAGTGCGCGTGCAAGCGTACGACGCCGACGAGGGTGACAACGCCGCCATCCACTACAGCATCGGCCCCCGGGACTCTGCGGGTGGCTCCACGGACGAGCTGCCAGTGACCGTGGACGAGAGCAGCGGCTGGATCTTCACGACGCGCGAGCTGGACCGCGAGGAGCACAGCAAGTATCAGTTCCTGGTCCTGGCGGCCGACGGAGGCTCGCCCCCGCGCAGCGCCACCGCCAGCGTGGTGGTGACGGTGCAGGACGTGAACGACAACGACCCCGTGTTCAACCCGCGCGAGTACAACGCCGTGGTGGCCGAGGACGACCAGCCGGGCACGCCCGTGGCGAGCGTCACGGCCACGGACCGCGACGAGAACCCCCGCCTGCACTACGAGCTGACGGCGGGCAACCTCCGGGGCCGCTTCGCCATCACGACGCAGAACGGACGAGGCCTCATCACGGTGGCGCAGCCGCTGGACTACAAGCAGGAGAAGCGCTTCGTGCTCGAGGTCACCGCATCGGACTCTGGCGGGCGGCACGACACCGCGACCGTCTACGTCAACATCTCTGACGCCAACAACTACGCGCCCATGTTTGAGAACGCCCCGTACTCGGCGTCTGTGTTCGAGGACGCGCCCGTCGGCACCACCGTGCTCGTCGTGGGAGCCACGGACGGCGACGTTGGTCAGAACGCGCAGATCACGTACTCGCTGGGAGGCGACAAGGAGATCCCCGAGTTCACCATCAACCCACAGACGGGGGCTGTCGTCACGGCCAAGCCCCTCGACAGGGAGACGGTCTCGGGCTACCTGCTGACCGTCACAGCGAGGGATGGCGGCGCGCCGCCACTGTCCGACACGACCGACGTGGAGATCATGGTGGCGGACGTCAACGATAACGCACCCACATTCCGTCAGTCCGCCTACTCCGGTACCGTGGCCGAGGACGCGCTCATCGGCACGAGCGTTGCTCAGGTGACCGCCTCGGACGCCGACACGGGGCTGAACGGGCGCATCCGCTATGCACTGAACCCTAGCGGAGCCGGCACCGACGAACCCTTCGTCATGGACCCCACCTCGGGGGTGATCCGCACCAACCGCATGCTGGACAGGGAGAGCGTGGCCGTCTACCAGCTGGAGGCGCTCGCCATCGACCGAGGGTCACCCGCGCTCTCGAGCTCCGTCATCGTCACCATCAAAGTGGAGGACATCAACGATAATCCGCCGGCCTTCGAGTCCGACAAGCTGGTCATGTACGTGGCGGAAAACTCCCCAGTGGGCTCCACGGTGGGAGAGATCTACGCTAAGGACCCGGACGAGGGCGCTAACGCGCAGGTGCAGTACTCCATCATTGGGGGCGACGACTCGAGCAGCTTCTCGCTCATCACCAAACCAGGCTCTGCGAAGGCCTCGCTCGTGACGATGGTCGAGCTGGACTACGAGTCTCCCAGGAAGAAGTTCGAGCTCGTGGTTCGTGCCGCCTCTCCGCCCTTGCGCACAGACGTGCACGTCGACGTGCTCGTTACAGACGTGAACGACAACGCGCCCCGCCTCAAGGACTTCCAGGTGCTGTTCAACAATTTCCGTGACTGTTTCCCATCCGGCGCCGTGGGCCGAATCCCGGCCGTCGACGCTGACGTGTCAGACCAGCTGCGTTTCCGGATCCTCAGCGGCAACAACGCCAACCTGGTGCACCTCAACGAGAGCTCCGGACACCTCACGCTCTCCCCGCTGCTCAACACCAACGTGCCCAAGCTCGCCACCATGGAAGTGTCAGTGTCGGACGGCGTGAACGAGGTGAAGGCTGTGATGCAGCTGCAGGTGCGGCTCATCACCGAGGAGATGCTCTTCAACTCCATCACCGTCCGGCTCGAGGACATGACGGAGGAGGCCTTCCTCTCGCCGCTTCTGTCCTTCTTCGTGGAGGGCCTGGCCGCCATCATCCCCTGCCCCAAGGAGAACGTGTTCCTGTTCAGCGTTCAGGACGACACTGACGTCAACGCCAAGATCCTCAACGTCAGCTTCAGCGCTCGCCGCCCGGACGTCAGCGGTGAGGAGTACTACACGCCGCAGTTCCTGCAAGAGCGCGTCTACCTGAACCGCGCCATCCTCGCCCGCCTCGCGACCGTCAAGGTCCTGCCGTTCGACGACAACCTCTGCGTGCGCGAGCCGTGCCTCAACTACGAGGAGTGCCTGACCGTGCTCAAGTTCGGCAACGCTTCCGGCTTCATTAGCAGCGACACGGTGCTGTTCCGGCCCATCTACCCCGTGACGACGTTCGCGTGTCGCTGTCCGGCGGGCTTCACTGGCAGCCGCGAGCACTACCTGTGCGACCGCGAGGTGAACCTGTGCTACTCCAACCCGTGCCAGAACGAGGGCGAGTGCGTGCGCCGGGAGGGCGGGTACACCTGCGTGTGCGCGGCGGGCTTCACGGGCGTGCACTGTGAGACCAGCCTGGCGAACGGGCCCGGCTGCGCGCCTGGCCTGTGCCGCCCGCCGTCCGTGTGCGCGCCCCTCATCCGCGGCGGCTTTGTCTGCGAGAAGTGCACCCTGCCGCAGGACTGGCGCACCGAGCAGTGCGAGCTGCGCGCGCGCTCCTTCACCCGCTCAGCCTTCCTGACGTTCCCCGCGCTGCGCCAGCGGCACCGTCTCCACATCCGGCTCAAGTTCGCCACGCTGCAGTCGGACGGGCTCCTGCTGTACGACGGCCGCTACAACGAGCGCCACGACTTCATCGCGCTCGAGGTGGTGGGCGGCGAGCTGCACTTCTCCTTCTCGCTGGGCGACGGCGTGACGCGCGTCTCGGTGGCGGTGCCCGGCCCCGGCGGCGTGAGCGACGGCCGCTGGCACACCGTGACCGTCTCGTACCTCAACAAGGCAGCCACTCTGTCCGTGGACGACTGCGACACGAGCCTCGCCATCAAGCACGGCACGGAGCTGGGCGCGCAGTGGGCCTGCGCCAACCGCTCGCAGCACGTCCTGGAGCCGCGCTGCGACCAGCCCACCGAGACGTGCCACCGCTTCCTGGACCTGACGGGCCCGCTGCAGATAGGTGGGCTGCCTGCGCTGCCCACCACCGACTTCCAGGTGCGCTCCAAGGACTTTACGGGCTGCATCACCGACCTGCACATCGACCACGCCTTCGTGGACCTCAACAGCTTCGTGGCCGACAACGGCACGGTGGCGGGATGTCCGGAGAAGCGCCCCCACTGCGCCTCAGCCCCGTGCCAGCACGGCGGCGAGTGTCGCGAGGGCTGGGGAACCTTCGTATGCGACTGTCCGGACAAGTGGGGCTCCAAGGACTGCAGCGAGCCCATCAAGCTGGCGTGGCGCTTCCGGGGCGACGGCGTTCTGTCCTTCAACCCGCTGCTGCGGCCCATCCAGCTGCCCTGGCTGAACTCGCTGTCCATCCGCACGCTGCAGCGCGACGCCTTCCTCATGAGCATCCAGATCGGCCAGAACAGCACGGCCCGGCTGTCGCTCGAGGCCGGCGCCCTCGTGTACGAGTACCACGGCGACCGCGTCGCGCTGCAGGGCGGCGTGGCGGACGGCGAGTGGCACCGCATCGACGTGCGCTGGCTCCCCGGAGAGGTGTGGCTCGGCCTGGACCACGGCCAGCGGAGCGCGGTGGGCGCGCTGCCGGCCAAGGTGCAAGGCCTGTACGTCGGCAAGATTCTCATCGGCGGCCCGGACGCGGAGACCCCTCCGGCGGAGGCAGCCGCTCTGCCCAGGCTGGACGGATGTATTCAGGTAAGTGGTAGGGCACGGCAAGCCTGCCGGGCGCGCCTGCGGACTGCGGGGTAGGCCTGCCCGCCGCACACCTCTGCGCTGCCTGGTGGCCTAGCTCCCGCCTGCTGGGCGCGCTATCAGCTCAGAGCGTCACCCGCCTTCTCTCTCTCTTGTTCCAGGACGTGCGCGTGGGCACCCCGCAGTCGGCCCTTCAGCGGCCCAATGTCAAGGAGAATGTCGGCGACGGGTGCGGCAGCGGTGACGCATGTGCCGGGCCGCTGGCCACGGACCACTGCCCCAGCGCAGCCGCCACCCCGGCGCACAGCCGCTGCGAGGCGCACTGGGAGCGTGCGTCGTGCACGTGTAACGTCGGCTACGTGGGCTCGGCGTGCGCGCCCGTCTGCTCGCTCAACCCGTGCGAGAACGGCGCACGCTGCACGCCCGTGCCCGTGGCGGACTCTGCGCCGCGCGGCTACACGTGCAGCTGCAACTCGACCGAGTTCTCGGGCGAGTACTGCGAGGTGAAGGTGGACCAGCCCTGCCCGACCAGCTGGTGGGGGTACCCCGTGTGCGGGCCGTGCCACTGCCCGGTGGACCGCGGCTACAACCCGGACTGCAACAAGGCGACGGGGGAGTGCGTGTGCCGCGAGAACCACTACCAGCCGGAGGGCTCGGACCGCTGCCTCGACTGTGGCTGCTACGCCGTCGGCTCCTTCAGCAGCCAGTGCGACCCGGTGAGCGGGCAGTGCCGCTGCCGCGCGGGCGTCATCGGCCGCACCTGCCACGCCTGCCCCAACCCCTACGCCGAGGTGACGCTGCGCGGCTGCGAGGTGGTGTACGACGGCTGCCCTCGCAGCTTCGCCGCCGGCATGTGGTGGGAGCGGACCAAGTTCGGCCAGACCGTGATCGAATCGTGCCCCGGCCACTCGCACGGCAAGGCTAGCCGCGTGTGCGACGATGCCCTGGGCGGCTGGCAGGAGCCGGACCTCTTCAATTGCACGTCGGATGCCTTCCTGGACCTCAGGAGAGTGGTAAGTAAAGTACCCTACAGAGTACCCTGGCGGACACTTTACTTCGCTGTGTTGTTACGACCCTCGGGTGTCTTTCGCCTTTCAGCTGGGCCAAATGGAGCGCGGCGAGCTGAGCATCAACAGCTTCGTGGCGGTCAAGGTGGCGTCTGACCTGGGCCGAGCAGTGAACCGAACCCAGCGGCTGCACGGCTCCGACGTGCTCATCGACGAGCAGCTGTCGCGTCGCCTGCTCACGCACGAGCTGGGAATGAGCGGGCTGAACCTGACTCACAGCCAGGACAAGGACTACATCGCTCACCTCGTGCAGGCCGTGAGCAAGGCCCTGGAGCCAGACAACGCTGCCCACTGGGAACGCATCTCCGAGCTGACGGGCGAGACGGCCGAGCACGTGATGGTGGCCGTCGACCAGTACATCGGCGTGCTCACGCGCAGCCAGCGCGACACCTACACCAACCCCTTCGAGATTGTGGCCGACAACGTCGTGCTGGGGCTCGACGTGGTCACGGCGGAGAGCTTGTTCGGCTACGAGTCCCACTCCGTGAGTCGCGACGCCCCACCCACGCCGCGCCCGGATGCGGGAGCCAGCACACCACCGCCAGGCCAGGTCGTCATCCCGGACACATCCCAATTCTTGCAGCCGGCCCTGCTGCCCCTCACAGCCACCCCGGGAAGCGGAGGCAGCAGCGCCGCCGGCTCGGGAACGCCTGTCGTCGTCTTCCCCAAGTACAACAACTACCTCCAGGTATGCAAATCGCCGTTACCGTGACGCAAGTGTCGTCTCCACTTCTCCCTCTCACCTCGCATTCTGTTTCCGCAGGATCCACGCAAGTTCGACCCCTACACGCAGATCATGGTGCCGCTCTCGTTGCTGGGCATCCGCGCCGGGTACTTCGGCGAGACGAGCACGCGCCAGAGCCCCGCCGCGGTGGGGCAGGCCGTGCTGAGCTACGTGCAGTACCGCACGCTAGGGCCGCTGCTCCCGGACCGCTACGACGAGACGGTGCTGCGTCGCTGGGGGGTCGACCTGCGCGTTGGCTCCCCAGTCGTGTCGCTCGCGGCCTACGTCCCGGGCAGCGACAAGGACAAGGACCCTGTCGACAAAGAGAAGGCAGCGTACCGACCCCTGGGAGGCCACCTCAACGCTCCCGTGCGGGTGCGCCTATGGCTGGACCCCCAGCTGCAGGTGTTGGGCCCTCGCGCCAACCCGCAGTGCGTCTACTGGAGGGAAGGCCAGTGGTCGCGCGCCGGCTGTCAGACCGAGGTGCAGCAGACTCCCATGTGGAGGGGAGGCGTGCGGCTCCCGGTGCTCATCAACTGCACCTGCTCGCATCTCTCCACGTTCGCTGTGCTCGTTGATGTCGTCGACCTGGACGTGAGTTGCACTTTTCGACGTCATACTGATCCTGATCAACTGAAATGATAAGTATCCAAAGTAACCAAATACCCCATTTTCCAGTATATTCCAGAGCCCTCGGACTTGGAGGACGCTGCCACATGGCTCGGTTTCACTTTTGCTTTGCCTCTGCTCCTGACCGCCCTGATAATTCTTGCCTTCATAAGAGGACTGGAGACCAACTCAAACTCAATCCACAAGAATCTAGTCTTTTGTGTGTTTTTGGCTGAGACTATATACTTCGCGGCTCTGAAGGCTCGCCGCTCCCTTGTCATTCATGAGGTATGTTTACATTTCATAAGATTTTTCTCTCTTCTTTAGTTCATATTCAAAATGATTTTTATTTTTATTTTTTTCTTATTTTTTTTTTCAGTTTGCCTGTAAGATGACGGCCATGTCTCTTCATTACCTTTGGCTGTCAGCATTTGCTTGGGCCTTGGTTGATTCCATACATCTGTATCGGATGCTTACTGAAATGCGAGATATAAATCATGGACCAATGAGATTCTATTACACTCTGGGTTATGGTCTTCCTGCAATTTTAGTGGGACTTGCAGTTGGCGTGCGAGCTGACCAGTATGGAAACTTCTATTTGTAAGTACTTCGAGGGACAAGAAGTGATCACTTCTTGTCCAAAACATCTGCATTGAAATATACTTTGGTCCTGAAATTATGATAGGCAAATAGTATTTTAACAACATTTTTAAAATGTTTCCAGCTGTTGGCTATCACTCTATGAATCAGTGGTCTGGAGCTTAATTGGACCAGTCTGCTGTGCAGTTCTCATTAATCTTATTGTCCTCCTTATGGCCATTCGAGCGGCGTTCACCCTTAAAGACCATATAATGGCTTTTGGAAACCTAAGGTATTACATTATCACAAAGTTAAATTCTTTTTAAATTTCATACTTTGTTTGTAATAAATTACAATTATTTTTTTTTATTTTTTTTCAAGGACTTTATTGTGGTTGTCTGTGGTTGCCCTCCCTCTTTTGGGAGCTACATGGGTCCTGGCAGTGCTCGCAGTCAGTGAAAGACTGCCCATTGTTTCCTATGGTCTAGCGGCTGCTGTTTTCCTCCATGCTCTTTTCTGCTTGATTGGCTACTGCTTTGTCAATGAGCGAGTACGCAAAAATCTGCGCATCACAGTTTTGAGGTGCATGGGCAAAAAGGTTCCCTTAGTGGAGGAAACTTGTCAGACAGCAAACCATATGCAGCCTGTAAGTTGAAAATTTTTATTCTTCAATTTTTTCACCAAAAACACAAAAGTTAGAAAAATATCACTGTGAACTAAAGTCTTCCCCTCTTCTTTTGCAGAGATCATCTTTAGCTTATAGAAACAGCGCCCGAATGGAGTCTTTGAGGAGGAATATTGGCATATCAACATCAAGTACTACATCTCGATCAACAGCAAAGACAGGAAGCAGCCCATATCGTAGCGATGGGCATCTAAGAAATACAAACACCTCAACATCAACTAGCAACTACAATTCAGGATCTGAGTTGCCCTCCTATTTAAGAGGCTATGATTCCTCAATAACAGGAGGTGGCCAACTTGGAAGACACAATGAAGATACTGAAGATGGCCCCAGTAACACTGACAAGAGAACTACTACTGGCCACACATCAGATTCTGATTCAGAGGCTTCTGTTGATGGACGAAGCCTGGAACTCGCATCAAGTCACAGCAGTGATGAAGATGAAAGTTCCCATCACAACAGCTCACGTCGTAGGAGGCATCAACGAGGCTTAGGGGTATCAAACCATTCAACGACATCTGCTGAAACTGCAGGGACAAATCCTCCCTCAGTACAAGCATCAACATATATGCCAAATATTTACCCCATAGCAGAAGGTGATGTTTCTCCCACTGACATGGTACAACCACCTCCAACACTCAATATAGTGAGCAAGGCAGCTCTTTTTCCAAACCTAAAACCTATGTATGCTCCACGTTGGTCAAGTCAACTTCCCGATACTTATGTAACAGCCAACAGCATGCTAGATAGCATGAGCCTCCGTAATAATCAGTGGTCTGGGCTGACAGATTTAGACCATTATTATAAGGATTATCAGGGGAAGACCTCAGCATCTCCAAGTCCACACCCACTTCCACAGTTAACTAAAATGATGTCTTCATCAGATAATTTTCATGAACTAGGGGAAGTTGGATCTGAAACGGAAGAGAAAGTTCACATGGGAGACAAATATTTATTCCCTTACACAGGTATGTGATTATGTTTTTCCTCTTTGTTAATCAAGAAACCTAAAATTTCTTTAAAATCAAATCCATATTTCTTGTTTTTTAGCTGAAGAGGACCACTGTGGGAGATCATTGAGTCTAAATTTAGGCATGGGACTTAGCAATAATTATGAACTGCCCCATGTTGGCATGGATAATGGAGTTGGAATGGGAGGCGACAGCACAGGTAGAGGATCTCCAAGCCCCCTTCATCATCCAGGAGCTTTAACATCATCAAATGTTTCAGAGTCAGAGTGAGTTTGAAAATCCAGCCTTCTAAAATTAACATAATTCCTAACATGTTTCTCTGTCTTACGAAAACTTTTTCTTTTCTTAATGCTGCTCTAATGGAAACTCAGAGATGAGACAAGATGGCTCACTCAGGTTGGAATTGTAACAATTTCAGTGTGTACTCATTCTGCACTTACATAAAATTACTCAAAAAATAAAAAATATTATTGTGGTGTTTAGTTTTCTCACCTAGTAGATAGTGCAAGCCTGTTATGGTTTAAAATTAGACTTGTGATTTGTGCTGTTTTGTTTTGAGTTTGTAGTGCAATTGACAAAGATGTCTCAAGATAAACTGCTTATTGTGGTTCTTGCTAGAATTGTCACTAATTAAATTACTCATTTTGTTGCAGGAAAGATACCGAGGATATGAGTGAGACACCTGTATGAACAAATCGATAGAAGAATAGGGTTTTCTTTCCCACCAAGTGTATAAAAATATCTTTAATTAATGCTCAAGAAAAGCTGTGTACATTTGTGAAAAGAATAATTTAGAACAAGCATGTGAACAGATTTTACCTACATGCAGAGTTGTGATATCTTAGTTAAGTTAAATGAAATCATATTATATGCCATAGTGTGTGGCAAAGCCAGCTTGCCCTGCCAGTTTAAGCCCGCTCTGTGGAGCATGTCATACACTGTTAAAATTATGAAGCTTTATTTATTTCATGTATAGTAAATTTGTAAAATAAGACTTTAGAAAAGCAGTTACTGATTTTCTGCATTATTGCAAGAAGGCTGATTTAATTTAATAACATTTTAAATGTATTATTTTAAGAAGAGAACTAGAATGTTATATCCTATTTGTTTAAATCTCTAGTGGATTGTTTTACAAATTAATCAATGTGCAACTCAATTTTTTTTCATGCACTGATTTTTTACTCACTAGACTAGTCCATTTCCAGTTATTTACTATTGGTTATTTTAAGAACTCTTTGTATGTAGTATTTATCCAAGACAAATCTTGCAGAATTGTTCCTTGTGTCATGGAATCTCCTCTTTGCTTGAAATGTGCATGTGGTGTGGATTATTTTTCTCATCACACATTAATTTATTTGTGATACTTCCAAAAGTAACTTTTCTTTCATCTTTTTCTTTCTCCGTCCATTTTATGTTATTGTTTGTTGATGATTTAATTTTGTGCCAAACAACATTTTTTCTCACTTAAAAGTACTAGTGCGGGTTCAGTTTTGTTATCTCTACTTCTGAACAGCCTTGTTATTTTTGTGTATACTCTTCTTTCAGAAAAAAAAGGGTATTTGCTTTGCTAGATTGCTGGAATGCACAAAAAACACCACTTTTTGGCTGTATCAAATTGTATGTAATTTATCATGTCAAGGACCAAAAATTGATTTTTTATTGTTTGTGAGTTAGAAGTAGCTATGTTTTGATGAATCAACTCAAATTTTTTAAAGCTTTTCTTTGGACCAATTATGGTTAAAAAAAATTAAAGGAGATACAGTCTCTGGTCATCTATTTTAAAGCAATTTGACTATCCCAGATAGAAATCCAAATCATACCACACTCTATGGTATATTAAATTTGTAAAGACTAAATCCATCCAAGCTTTTCTTAGGTCTAATGCATTCCTCATGTACAGAAATTGAACTAGGGATCTATCTGTGATACCAATTAGGAGGTGGAACTACTCAGGAAATGCTCTTCAAACCCACGCAAAAGACCGAGATTTGTCACAATGACATCAACTGAAGTCCCTGGTCATCTTGACTGTCAGAAATGACGTCAAACAATAAGAACCATTGTTTTTTTCACAAAACAGACGACAATTCAAAAACCATCATTGTCGTTCAAAAATCAAATTTGCTGTTGGGACTGAAAGTAAATTAAAATGAAGAGCTCTAATTGTGAAAGGTCTCAAAGGACAGAAATTTGACACAATGCCATAAATTGACGTCACTGGTCAAAATTTAGTTGCCTTGACTGTCAGAAGTGACATCACGAGGACGTCACGACCTCACTTATGTCAGTCAAGATGACTAAATTTTGACCAGTGACATCAAAGCTATATCGTTTTGACAAATTTCCGTCCTTTGTGATTCAAGGGCTTGGTAGATATTTGGACTTCTGACTGGTGCAGTTTTAGTACTAAGGTAAGAATTTGTGAAGTTCCCTTCCTGTTTGAATATTTTTGTATATAACATTATTTGTGTACATTAACTGTAAACATTTTTGTGAACTGTGTAAATCAATTTCTTTGTTTTGTCAGCACATTGAAGAAACAATGTTACCCTAGGTTCTATGCAATTCCAGCTTGTGATTTTGTGTTACAGTTACAATTATGGTGTTTAAGAAAGACAAAAACTTGTTCATTATGACGCAGACTTGCTGTGCAATCAATTGTTCTTACAATAAATAATAAAAAATTAAGAGTACAAATCGAATTGGGGTGTTGTTCTTCTTCCAGTATTATGATGGTTTATAAAACAAAAGGTAGATCTGGAGTGGAGTTTTTTTTTTTTATGACATCACATTCTTTTTGGATCATGCATCTGCATCTGACTGGACCCTACCTCCCTGCAACCCTCATGACGGCGTCACGTCATGGGAGGTTTAATAGGAGGAGGAAGCAGCTTGCCTACTTTTCACACGTCTCATCAAAGAAATGGGAAATTGTGGGGGTGGGGAATCACCTGAGTAGAGCGATTAACGCTGCAAACGTCATGCACTTCCGGCACTTCCCCGGCCTAGGCGGAGTGGGGAGGGCAGTGTGGGCAGCGGGGCGTGGAAGTGGGGGAGGGGGAATGAGCGAGCAAAGGGTGGAAGGGGGAGGGCACCTTGGGGGAGGGGGGAGGAGGAGGGAGGAGGCACCTGGGCAAGGAAACTGTGCGAAGCTTGATAGATTTTCTTTATTTTGGTATTATCGCGGCTCGATAGATTTTCTTTATCGTTGCATTATCGCGGTTAAATCTATAAAATACCCGCTTTCCGAGCGAAGAAACACTAAAACAAACAAATGAAAACTAAATAAACAAGTAAACTGAGGCTCCCCCCCTTCCCCTTCCTCCTTTCCTCGCCACTACTCCCGCTTCGCCGACGGAACACCCTTGTCGTCAGTCAGTTAGTCGCTGTGTACATTTGTGAAAAGAATAATTTAGAACAAGCATGTGAACAGATTTTACCTACATGCAGAGTTGTGATATCTTAGTTAAGTTAAATGAAATCATATTATATGCCATAGTGTGTGGCAAAGCCAGCTTGCCCTGCCAGTTTAAGCCCGCTCTGTGGAGCATGTCATACACTGTTAAAATTATGAAGCTTTATTTATTTCATGTATAGTAAATTTGTAAAATAAGACTTTAGAAAAGCAGTTACTGATTTTCTGCATTATTGCAAGAAGGCTGATTTAATTTAATAACATTTTAAATGTATTATTTTAAGAAGAGAACTAGAATGTTATATCCTATTTGTTTAAATCTCTAGTGGATTGTTTTACAAATTAATCAATGTGCAACTCAATTTTTTTTCATGCACTGATTTTTTACTCACTAGACTAGTCCATTTCCAGTTATTTACTATTGGTTATTTTAAGAACTCTTTGTATGTAGTATTTATCCAAGACAAATCTTGCAGAATTGTTCCTTGTGTCATGGAATCTCCTCTTTGCTTGAAATGTGCATGTGGTGTGGATTATTTTTCTCATCACACATTAATTTATTTGTGATACTTCCAAAAGTAACTTTTCTTTCATCTTTTTCTTTCTCCGTCCATTTTATGTTATTGTTTGTTGATGATTTAATTTTGTGCCAAACAACATTTTTTCTCACTTAAAAGTACTAGTGCGGGTTCAGTTTTGTTATCTCTACTTCTGAACAGCCTTGTTATTTTTGTGTATACTCTTCTTTCAGAAAAAAAAGGGTATTTGCTTTGCTAGATTGCTGGAATGCACAAAAAACACCACTTTTTGGCTGTATCAAATTGTATGTAATTTATCATGTCAAGGACCAAAAATTGATTTTTTATTGTTTGTGAGTTAGAAGTAGCTATGTTTTGATGAATCAACTCAAATTTTTTAAAGCTTTTCTTTGGACCAATTATGGTTAAAAAAAATTAAAGGAGATACAGTCTCTGGTCATCTATTTTAAAGCAATTTGACTATCCCAGATAGAAATCCAAATCATACCACACTCTATGGTATATTAAATTTGTAAAGACTAAATCCATCCAAGCTTTTCTTAGGTCTAATGCATTCCTCATGTACAGAAATTGAACTAGGGATCTATCTGTGATACCAATTAGGAGGTGGAACTACTCAGGAAATGCTCTTCAAACCCACGCAAAAGACCGAGATTTGTCACAATGACATCAACTGAAGTCCCTGGTCATCTTGACTGTCAGAAATGACGTCAAACAATAAGAACCATTGTTTTTTTCACAAAACAGACGACAATTCAAAAACCATCATTGTCGTTCAAAAATCAAATTTGCTGTTGGGACTGAAAGTAAATTAAAATGAAGAGCTCTAATTGTGAGAGGTCTCAAAGGACAGAAATTTGACACAATGCCATAAATTGACGTCACTGGTCAAAATTTAGTTGTCTTGACTGTCAGAAGTGACATTACGAGGACGTCATGACCTCACTTATGTTAGTCAAGATGACTAAATTTTGACCAGTGACATCAAAGCAATGTCGTTTTGACAAATTTCCGTCCTTTGTGATTCAAGGGCTTGGTAGATATTTGGACTTCTGACTGGTGCAGTTTTAGTACTAAGGTAAGAATTTGTGAAGTTCCCTTCCTGTTTGAATATTTTTGTATATAACATTATTTGTGTACATTAACTGTAAACATTTTTGTGAACTGTGTAAATCAATTTCTTTGTTTTGTCAGCACATTGAAGAAACAATGTTACCCTAGGTTCTATGCAATTTCAGCTTGTGATTTTGTGTTACAGTTACAATTATGGTGTTTAAGAAAGACAAAAACTTGTTCATTATGACGCAGACTTGCTGTGCAATCAATTGTTCTTACAATAAATAATAAAAAATTAAGAGTACAAATCGAATTGGGGTGTTGTTCTTCTTCCAGTATTATGATGGTTTATAAAACAAAAGGTAGATCTGGAGTGGAGTTTTTTTTTTTTATGACATCACATTCTTTTTGGATCATGCATCTGCATCTGACTGGACCCTACCTCCCTGCAACCCTCATGACGGCGTCACGTCATGGGAGGTTTAATAGGAGGAGGAAGCAGCTTGCCTACTTTTCACACGTCTCATCAAAGAAATGGGAAATTGTGGGGGTGGGGAATCACCTGAGTAGAGCGATTAACGCTGCAAACGTCATGCACTTCCGGCACTTCCCCGGCCTAGGCGGAGTGGGGAGGGCAGTGTGGGCAGCGGGGCGTGGAAGTGGGGAAGGGGGAATGAGCGAGCAAAGGGTGGAAGGGGGAGGGCACCTTGGGGGAGGGGGGAGGAGGAGGGAGGAGGCACCTGGGCAAGGAAACTGTGCGAAGCTTGATAGATTTTCTTTATTTTGGTATTATCGCGGCTCGATAGATTTTCTTTATCGTTGCATTATCGCGGTTAAATCTATAAAATACCCGCTTTCCGAGCGAAGAAACACTAAAACAAACAAATGAAAACTAAATAAACAAGTAAACTGAGGCTCCCCCCCTTCCCCTTCCTCCTTTCCTCGCCACTACTCCCGCTTCGCCGACGGAACACCCTTGTCGTCAGTCAGTTAGTCCGTCCCAGTCATCCACTGACCTCCTACCCTTTTCCGTACTAATACATCGTCATGGTGAGTGAATAAAATTAGTGCCAGCGGTTGCAAACGTTAAATAGTTGAGTGAGACTTACAACAAAACGAATATTTTGCAGCGCGAAGTTATCTCCGTCCATGTCGGCCAAGCCGGCGTGCAGATGGGCAACGCGGCCTGGGAGCTGTACTGCCTGGAGCACGGCATCAACCAGGACGGCACGATGACCACAATGAAGGTCAACGACTCATTCTCGACGTTCTTCCAGGAGACAGGCACCGGCAGGCACGTCCCCAGAGCCATATTCGTGGACCTGGAGCCCACCGTCATAGGTAAGTGCCTCGCCACCAGCCCGGCGGCCCGCGCGGCCGCTGCCTGTTTGTTTACATGCTAACACGTCGCGTCGCCGTGTGCTCCAGGAGAGGTCCGGCACGGTGCGTTCAAGCAGCTGTACCACCCCGACCAACTCATCACGGGCAAGGAGGACGCCGCGAACAACTATGCGAGGGGGCACTACACTGTGGGCAAGGAGATCGTGGAGCTCGTCTTGGACCGGACGCGCAAGCTCGCCGACCAGTGCGAGGGGCTCCAGGGCTTCGTCATCTTTCACTCGTTCGGCGGCGGGACGGGGTCCGGCTTTTCATCCCTGCTCATGGAGCGATTGTCCGTGGACTACGGCAAGAAAAGCAAACTCCAGTTCTCCATCTACCCGGCTCCACAGGTGACTTTGACTATTTTTTCGAGGGGGTATTCACTGCAAGGCAACTTGTACAGGGTGCACGGAATTACACTGAATAACGTGGTATTACCGGGTATTACGCCGGTGTTACACGCAAAATTTTGCCTTTTTAAAGAATATTTATTTTTCCGTATTACGCTACAAGTAATACAGCGTAATACCCTGGGGGGTGTACATGGAATTACGGGAGTGAATACCCCCTCGTTTTTTTGCGGGGGTAGGGGTGATTACTTTGAAGCTTTAGAGCCCTGCAAAATCCAGGGGGATGATGTTCCAGTGGACAGTCGCTTAAAAAGATGGATTTTGCAAAGCTGATCTTAGTGTCATTCAGTGCAGTCTTTTAAAGGTTTATTTTGGGGTATTCAAATTTAGTTTCTACAGCTTGGAGGGGACGCCGGTGCCCGTGGGCGTGGGCCTTTCAGTGATTTATGATATTAGGGGGGGGGGGTGAAGATGGCGTGAAGATTAGGACGGGTGGTTGCCGGTTGCCGTGCAGTTATTTGCTATAGTTGTGGGGGTTGTCCACTGCAAAGCTCAGTGGGCACGGCAGACCGCCTGTCGAGCTGGCTGCCACTTCATCACAGGCGCCGATGGGGTTGCCTACCTTATGGGGCCTCTGGCGCTATGCGAGGCAAGGGGCAATGCGCTCTGTATCACTTGCTGTCATGTTTATGTGTTTGCATCTTTCACGTCATGTCAGATCTCCACGGCCATGGTCGAGCCCTACAACACCGTGCTGGCGACGCACACAACCCTGGAGCATGCGGACTGCACGTTTATGGTAGACAACGAGGCCAGCTTTGAGCTCTGTCGCCGCAACCTGGGTGTGGAGCGACCCAACTACTCCAACCTGAACCGCCTCATCTGCCAGGTGGTGTCGTCCATCACTGCCTCGTTGCGTTTCGACGGCGCGCTCAACGTCGACCTCAACGAGTTTCAGACCAACTTGGTTCCTTATCCGCGCATCCACTTCCCGCTGGTAAGATTTGACTAACCGCGAGGTCACTGTGCTGCTCCAGTCCCGCACTTCCATCACTACTCTCATCTCGTGTCCTCACGTCGTGTGCCCCTACAGGTCAGCTACGCGCCGATCATAAGCGCAGACAAGGCCATTCACGAGCAGCTCTCGGTCGGCGAGCTCACCAACTCGTGCTTCGAGGCCACGAATCAGATGGTCAAGTGCGATCCCCGCATGGGGAAGTACATGGCCTGTTGCCTGCTCTATCGCGGGGACGTGGTGCCCAAGGATGTGAACAACTCCATCGCCGCCATGAAGGCCAAGAAACACATTATGTTTGTGGACTGGTGTCCGACGGGCTTCAAGGTGGGCATCAACTACGAGCCTCCGACGGTGATCCCCGGCGGCGACCTGGCAAAGGTGTGCCGCGCCGCGTGCTTGCTGTCCAACACCACGGCCATCGCGGAGGCGTGGTCTCGCGTCAACCACAAGTTCGACCTGATGTATGCGAAGCGTGCATTTGTTCACTGGTACGTCGGCGAGGGCATGGAGGAGGGAGAGTTCACAGAGGCGCGGGAGGACTTGGCCGCCCTTGAAAAGGACTACGAGGAGGTGGGCGCGGATACGGCAGCCGACGAATATGACGATGAAGAATATTGATTTTTTAGTTGTATTCTGTTTGATTATGTAAAGGCCTAATAAAGGTTTTCGAAATTCAGTAGTGACGATTTTCCTTCCCTTCTCCATCGTTTTCTACTTGGACTGAGCTGAAGAGCTGAAGAGGGAAGTTCTGGTCCGCAATTTCTCATACTCTGCGCCATGGGCCCAGACGCAACCCTAATACGAATCCAGTCTCCAGCACTGTGGCCGCCAAGAACTGGCCTGCAGAGCAGAACGGGAGAGGTGGAAGCCCAGAGTCAGTCCTTGTGCAAAGCTGAAAAAACAGGTACGCGACGTCGAAACTGCTTGTGAAATGTTGACATGATCTGAGACCTCGTATAATTTCTCGCGTAAATTACTTAGAAACAAACCGTACATTTATTACAATTCGCTTCGTGTCCTGTTAACTATCGCTGTTTGGGATCAGCTGACAGGCGAAGGCAACCCAATCCGCAGCAGGAAGAACCTCGAACGATTCTTAATTGACCTGCTTTTCGTTTAGGGAAATTGTTCATGCTAAAAATAAACAGGAAAGCTAATTGCGGCATTAAATTGCACATAGTCTTCACTCGAATCTGCTAAAGTTTGCTTTTTTCCTGTTTCCTGTTTTCTACATTTCCTTTGTGATAAGGGTGCTGTGAACCCACTACTTGTTTTTGTTTATGATTTGGTCAGTGACTGTGCTGCCTTGAAATATTGTCCAAGGTGAAACTGTTGCATTATGCTTTTACTCCTTAAGTATCATCATGATTTAATAAAAATTACTTTAGTATTGTATTCATTTTCGTCATTTGAAGCAATCTATTACAATCAGTGTTTGAAATTTGAAAAAGAAAAAAAATGAAGTGAGGAAATAAATAAATTGTGTTCTGTTGTTTCAGGATTTTTTAGGGGCAGTGATGTGAGGCTATTGGCCTAAACAAGACCAAAAAATGAGATCCCCATGGCTGCAGCTCATGCTAGTTTTCATTTATTTTTTGTTGATTCTGGTGGCCACTCGTCTGCTGGACTTGATACTTTGGTATCAGCATGGATTGGCTCCTACTCAAGTTGTTAACCCTTTCATGTTAAAAGTCAAACAGATAAAATTACTTCTTGATAGTCGCGGAGTCAGTTACACAGAATATTTTGAGCGAAATGAACTTGTTCAGCTTTTAGAAGATTCTGGTAAGAATAAGTCTGTGGAAAAAAGTTAAACTTATTTTAACTCTACAATTTATCTCCTCTCAGTTTGATTATTTGTTTATATTTACAGCTGATGTCATGGTTGGTGAAGTGGAGCAAGTATCAGAGAGAACTGTTCCACTTAGAGAACGCCTGAAGCCTGGACCTGTCATTTCTCATTTTTCTGGTGGTGCGCACTTCTATGAACAAGTTGAGGACACACGAGACAGTGTGTGGCTTGTTCAAGTTGTGACATCTGATGAGCCACTTTTGGATGACTATAACTGGCGGCTGGTCTGCGGTCAGTTAGAGCCATTTGGTGTAAGGATTGGTATATTTGATTGTCGTCAGGACTTCAAGTAAGTATAGCAGTATTAATGGCTGTAAATTTTTTATTGTATTCTATTGTTGTTATAAACTTGCTCTTGCTTCAAAAGGTTGTGTGAGACCAAGGGCTGGGCAAAACCCCTTCTTTTACTTGCAATGCCCAAAGGCCAAAAGGCTAAAGATAAAGTTATCCTTCAGCCTTTCACCTCCAGTAAACCACAGGTACTTAATTTATAATGGATCTATTTTCATGTCAGGATGAATGAGTTCCAATGAGTAGAAAACATCTTGTGTAATAGTGCACAGAAAAGCTCTATTTTATGGTGTTCTATCTTTTTCAGGTCATTGTGAACTGGGTTCATCAACAGCTATCCTTGTGGGTTAAACGCATTCAAACCATTGAGGAAGTTGAAAGTGATTGGCTAAGTGAAAATGGGACAGACAGTATAGTTGGTGATGAAAAAGTAGTGAGTAAATCAGACAGTGGGGCAAATAATGTTCGAGTTCTTCTTTTGAGCCATCTTCTTCAGCCTCCCTTATTCCTAGCTGCACTCAGCATAAAATTTACTGGTCGTGTAAGCTTTGGAATGTTTTCTGTCAAGAAGGAGGACACCGAATCAGTGCGTAAACGCTTGCGATTAAATGACAAGAAACTACCAGTATATTTTGTGGTATGTATACTTTAGGAGTTTATACAGATTTATAGTTGCTAATTATTTATCTTGGCATATTTCTCTTTTAGGTTACTCCAGAAAAGAAAGTTATCTATGGGTCAAGGAAGTTAGAGTACTTTAATATGTGGTCTATGAATGTATTTCTTTGTGGAATTCAGCCTGAAACAAATGATGTTTTTCTGTGTTCACTTCTCCTTATAAATATGCTTGTAGGCCTAACAGTCTGCTTGGTAAGTTCATTGTCATACTTTTTGTTGATACTTTGATGTTGTTGAACAAATTTGTATACTTAATCATATTTTTCTCCATTATTTCTAGACATCTACTCGTTTGTGGTGGAGATGGACAGCATATTGTGTGTGGGCCTTGGTCAAATATAACTTTTGGCTGTTCACAGCCTGGCTGGTTTTCCTAGCATTGGCTCGCTTTGCTGTGTTTGGCATTGTAACTAATCGTTTGCTTCTCATCTTGAGGCTTATTGGTCTTTCTGGTTGGGGATCTTTTGTTCGAACAGAAGTTGCTCTGTTAACTTTACACCCTCTCCCATTTCTTTTCAGGTCAGTGTCTTCATCATCAGCTATTTTGTTTATTCCGTATAACAGGAAAATTAAGAAATGGCTAATTGTCTTCTTTTCATTTACAGTTTCATTTCCTTTTCTTTGTGTGTATGTTGTCTCATCCGCCTGTTTGCACCTTCATGGCTAATTTCTTCCCCTGATGACTTTGAACTGGATCCAAGACCATGGTGGGTTTCATTATCTCGTCCAATGCGTGCCAGTCAACTGGATTCTGAAGATGGAATTGAAATGCTCATTGAAAGGCTGGCTGTTCCAAACTTTTGGCTACAACCTGTTATTCCGATGGATTATATCAAAGTAAGTTCATATCATTTCTATTAACTTCCATAACAATGACTTGAGCTGAATAAAAGTCCAATTTAATTAATTTTTACAGGATTTACCCGTATGGAGGTACCATGGGTGGAATGTTGTGGATGGACAGACTGAAGCACCTGGCTGCGCTAAGGACAAGTTAATGCTACATTCTGCCTCCCCTAAACTTTTGGAGCATCTAATGGATGCAGAAGACCCTCAAAATTTCCTTTTATGCTGTTGTGTATGCTCTCAAAACCAACCAGTAACTCATTCCATGAACAGTTACTCTTGCTCTCAAGGACATGCCTGTTCACATTCCAGAAGTGGCTGCACTTTTTCTCAAGGATCAGCTCACCCACATTCCCATGTGCAGTGTACATGTCCTCGTGGTCCAAATTGCTCACATTCTACTTGCAATCTGAAGACTACTTTGATAACCCCAACATTAGAGACAAGTGCTCAGCATTCCCAGTGCTTTTGTTCATTAGTGCCAGGATGGAGTGGAGCTCCAACTCATAACTGCCAGGGTCCATTTAGAACTCCGGACCAGTGCCAAAATTGTCTTGATAGCTGTGAAAATTTGAGAAATGGAAGAAGCAGGCAAGCTATGTGTGTTGCTTGTGCTCATAGGTGTATGAGCTCGCAGTGGTATGGTTACAATAGTTGTCATCTACAAGAGACAGATTTAGATGAAAGTGATTTCAGTGATTCTGATCATATTAGTTGGAACACACCTCAATTTATCCTACCTACTACAGACTGTGCTGTTTGTTTGGAAAGCTACAACTATGGATCAGTGCTGTGTGGTTTGCCATGTGGACACAACTATCACCAGCGATGTATTCTAGCATGGCTGCAAAGGGATAATCACCACTGTCCTGTTTGTCGTTGGCCTGCGTATCGCACTAAAAGTGTCAAGAGCCATTTACATCAGGAGTGAAAAAATACGCAACTGGCCGGAAAGAGTTTAAACACAACATAAATAGTATAAGGCTTGTGTAAGGCTATAATCATTTGTATTTCTTATTGCTGAACCACATTAAATTGGCCTTTCTATTTTCCTTCTTAGAGAAGCAGTTGAGTAAATTTCAGTTTGGCACTAGTTTCATCATTGTTATACAATTTTATGTTTGATATAGCTTTGTTTTAATGACCTAATTTATAATTAGTCAAAGATAACTTCTGCACTCTGGCAAGCTTTTTAAGTTTTAAAACAAAGCTTTCAGTTAATGTCCATATGAGCTTCAACTAGTAGTAAACTGATCTTTTTTCCCCACAATTAATTATTATTAAAGTTCTTCAATGGTATCCCATATTGTTACCAACTTTTTTATATGTGATAAACTCATTTTGTCAACACTTTTAGATTACATTGTAGATGAAGCAATCTGACAATTTTTAATTTGGAATTGGGTACTGATGTTCAAAGAACAAACTTTACCACATTCCTTGATTCACTCATTTCCGAACTGAACCATTTTAATAGATGATTGTAACCTTATATTTACTTCACACAAGGTGCCATCAAGTTTTATATATTAAAGAATGAAAGGTGCTGTAACAGTTGTTTTTACACATTTGAAGAATTGTAATTGTCCTAAACAAGCTATGTGAATTAGTCTATTATTGTGATAAATAAAAAAAATCTGAGTTGTTAGTATGCAAATACACTTTTGATTGGCCTTTACATACAACTGCAGCACCCACCTGCCATTCATTTATACATGTTCACTGAAACGAAATTATTTACAAATGAAACCAGAATTTTTACTGCTTAAAACGTGTCTGAGGTTGCTTAATTGCAGTAGAAAATCAGCAGTAACAAAAAAAGGACTAATTTAGAGTGAATTCTCATCCTCTCTTTGAATATTTTCCTCAGCACCCCCACTACCCTCACTTTGATTAGAGTCAGATCGCTCTTGAGAATTTGGGCTGCCTTGATTATCACTAATCTCAGTGTGGACACCATTCTGCTCCTCACAGGCAGATGGGTGTTCGTACTGTTCACCACTGTGTTTTTCTTCATTTTCTTCCGCTGCTCCCTCCGCTGCTTCTTCTGATGATGTTCCTGTTGCTGCTGCTACTGCTGCTTCTGCTTCTGCTGTTGCTGCTGCAGCTTCTTCATCTTTTCTTGCCAATTCCTGTGCCTCCTGCTCCAACTGTTCTTGACGCATTTGTTCTTCATGTTGTTTTTCCAGCATCTCTCGACGTTCTTGTTCTCGCTGTTCTAATTTTCTCCTTTTGGCATTCACTCTTTCCTCCTCAATTCTACGCCTCTTTAAGGCATTTTGTTTTACTTTCTGGACTCTCATAATTTCTTCTTCTACAGTAACACATGCTTGTTCAATATCATAGTTCTTACTTACAAGACCTACCCATGTTGCCTCCAGTTCTCTTAATTTCTCGCCACCCTTCATCTGAGCGTTTTTTCTTTCCCAATTTATTTCCTGAATGTCCTTTCTGTAAATTATGTTTGCATGTTAGTCTTTTTTACAATGTAGAAAGTTTATTTACAACAAATAATCTAAGATTCTTAAGATTGCACAAACCTCAATGCCTGAAGATTTTTTTGAGCTTGAGAAACAGATGCCACAACTAACTCAAGATAGCTTTTCCATGCTTCACACCCATATTCTAGCATGAGTTCAAGATTGCAAATCCTAAATCAAAAAGGAATACATATTGTAATGGAGTGTCAATGTAAATTCAAAATTCAACATACTGTACTTGTAGTTGTCAACAGTTTTTTCAGAAGTTGTGCAAAGTGGACGTTAGTTAAAAGCTGAGGGCATACTAGATTGGCAAATAGTTTTCATATCTTGAAAATTGTGCATGTAAGATCAACATAAAAAAAAAGGAGAGAAAATGTTGCAATACAGTGCAAGAAATGCTTAACTGTTGTTTCCTCTGAATTGGACTTATGTTCAATCAATAACCCTGGCACTTTGTAAGCAGATATGCTACAACACCTCATTAGGATTTTTCATTACACGACTTATTTCTGAATGACTTACCTAGTTGCCTGATGTTCCAGCTGAGCTTGAGAGTTTTCAACACATTCTGTCCAAGCGGCAATATCGGTCATTTTTCCTGCAGGTGGTGGAGGTAGCTCGTAACGTTTCATACTGAGAACATCCATTGGTTGCCTCTGCTGCATTCGCTCCCACTCACTTTTCATCATCTCTGTCTGGATGAGAAAAATTAAATTTGAAATTTAATACGATACATTGCGATGAAGGTTTCACATGGTTGAAGGTCCATGAACAAACCTATAAACCAGATTTTACCTCAAAGAGAGAAGTATTAAGGGGAGGCAGGTGTTCCAAATAGTTTTTAGTTGGTCGGTAACGACGTGTTTCCTCCTCAACCATTGCCAGAGCCTAAAAACAATGTAAAACATCATTAATCCAGAAAAATACAGAATAACTGGAGGAGACATAACCTTTTCCGAAACTTACAGCCTCCCGTACACCAGCTTCGTCATATCCCTGATCAATGTATGGCAAAGCATCAACTATAACTTCACCAGCCATATTTCAAAGGCTGAATATTACAAGCTTGTTTTTAACAGATAGAGCAGCACCGTAAAATAAGACAAATATGTAACCGGTGCCGGAGGATGTTATCGCACACAACTAACCAAAACCACAACCACAACACTACATCTATTCGCAGATCGACCAGCACTTTGCTCTTTGCTTGACCTATGCGCAGGCCGGTTAGCACCGCTATTCGCAGTTTGATTTCTCAAGGTTTGAGAAAAGGATCTCTTCGTTCAAGTGGGGCCGGGAGAAAAGGAAGCCCAGGGTCCTTTCATTTCTTGCATATTTTCAGTGTCCACCTTACTGAGGTCTTCAGAAATAATGTGCCATTTTGGCATTCTCATTTTAGCTTTGATCTTTGATCCTTTTAAAATTTAGTGAAGCTGAAGCTATTGCCTTGTGGTGTTGGATGAGGAATTAAAAAATAAATACACAAATAAGGGTCTGTTCATTAGTCAAAAATATATTTTGCTCAATGTTTGTTCCACAGAAACCTGCCAATGCAGCTGTGACATGCATATTAGTTTATAAAATGTCAGTCCAGTTATAAACAATCACTGGGTGGAAACAAATCAATGTTACAACAATGCATGGAAGACATGTGGCAGTTCTTGTAATTACATCAGATTAAGCGAAACCAGAGATCAAAAGTAAAATTAGGCCTCAGAAATCATGATAGGGCAACACTCAGGAAAAATAATTGGGTACAATAATCCCTTGTTCTCAAATCCCAAGTTCTTCTGAAATATCCAGTAAGCCTCCATTGAAACATCTTTCAGTAGTCAAAATATATGCAATACTGTCTGGAAGTAATTACATGACTGGCGATTTTAAGGATACAACAGCTTTTCTGAGAAAGATAAAAGACCAAACAATTTCAAATAATTTTCAGTCTTACAAGTTATGTAAATGACTATTTTAGTCCGATCCTCTCAGGATTCGGTGTAACATTTTGATGTAAGAAATCTTTAGAGTTAAGTTGGATTGAAAACACCACATACTTCCAATTAGCTGAGAAAGATAAATGGACTATAATATATTTAATGAGTTTGACAGATGGCAGGTACTACTACTATTTCTTACAGTGCAAATTTTCCCAAATTTGCCTCTCCAAGTATAATGAAATAAAAATTTGTACATATCACATAAAGAGACAAGATAATAAGAAAAAGAAAATTCATTAAAAATAAGACAGACAAAACGGCAGGTGGTTATCACACCGGATAACAATCACAAAACACCATACGATTCACAAAACAACACAAACTTGTTTACAATAACAAAAGTAAAACAAAGGACATAAATTATATGTAAATATATTAAACATCTGTACACAATAACAATTATAAACCTATAATTACATATGTATTACTGTATGTGTACACCATGAAAAGCAAATATTGACCTAACTCAACATGGATTCACACTGGTCATACAGTACTTAAGGGAAAAACTTAAGATGGCACTTCGGGGACACAGACATGCTTTACAATATACATCATGGCATTCCAAAACAAAAATGTATTTAAAAAGTTGGGAGTGAATAGACCATTTACCTTAGATGAAGGGTCAAATTACTCCTCAATGAATTAGGAGTAGGAAGACCAAAAACTTAGCACACATTTGGTTTTTCTTCTGAAGATGTAATTCTTTTTTTAAGTGCATTGAATAGACTGAGGTAAACTTTGCTGTAACTTATCTCTTTCATACAAGAAAAAGAGAAAACAGGGTGATAAGTCCTTGTTTGTGAGAGAGGAACTGCAAGCCAAATTTAGAAGTTTCAATTTATTTCAAAAGCACTGCTTTAATATGTATCTACCAGAGACTTAGTTGATGTATATTCAATAAGTGGCACAATTATCATTGTCAATCAGTAATAAGAAATTATAATAACCAAATTTTAAAAATATATC